CTACAGTAAAACAGTCTGCTCTTGTTTAAAAACATTTGGTTCTTTCGCTTTTACTTTGGCTTTCTGCAAGTCATGTAAACTGCAGCAGTTTCACCACCTGCAGCCTACACCCGATGCGTTTACGTTAACGCTTTAGTTCAGATTGGGAGTGGCTCTCTAAAGGAAAGCTCCTGGTTGCACCCCACTTGCCAAGCTTTGGTTTGCAGTTGTATTGCAGTGCGTGACATGGGTTCATCTCAAGTGATACTAAACAGATGTGTTGCAAGAAGATACCTAATGCACTTAAGCAGCTGATGGGCATTCAGCCCATTGGACCAGACAGAGCTCAGCTGAGGTAAAAACCTTCTGAAAGACACATGATATGGACAGCTGGTCCTCAACCCCAACTGTTTCCCTCTGTAAATCCACTGGTATTGGTCTGCACTAGTTGCTAATATAGACACAACCACTAGCCTCTCCGGCATTTGCTGCATTTATGCATAAACATGTATTTTGCTACTTAAGTATCAATTGGATCATCACCACTGAACTCCAGTTCCTTCTGGAATTCCCCATGTTCCTGCCCCATCTCAGAGCCTGCCATTGATTTCCTGTACATTTCATTCCATAGCTTTTGATCAATGCTATAACTTCTCAGTAGTTACGCAGGTGTGATTTTCCTCTTGACATGCAAAATGTACACAGATATTGTTCTTCCTTACTGAGCTCAATATAATTTTTACCTTAGAAAGAGCGCTTCCACATTGTCTGCGTTCCTCAGGGATGAGATCACTTGTAGTTTGCAATTGTAAGCAATAATGGTGTCCTTCGCTTATGTAGCTTTTTCATCTACATCAGCTGCTGGACCACAAAGAAGAAAACTGATTAAAAGCTGTCAAATACCTATTCAGGATTGCCAGCAGGAGCATTGGTTTGGTGCATTCATTTAATTTGTCATAGCTGGAAGTCTTATCTTTTGTCCTCTGCAACCATGAAATACACCTTTTCTTTTACCCTTGGTTGATTTCAAGCTAGCATTCATACAGATAGCATAGATATTTTTTCTTTCTGCTGACCGGAGAGTAGCTGAAACAGTATTCACATGTTTTTCATGCATAATATACATAGAACAGCTTCTTATCGTGACTATTGCTGAGTGTATGGCATATGAAAATTGCTGTTCTAAAACTTTCTTTGGGGCATAAAGATGCATGGATCCTGTAAGATTTCAGTAAGGTGTAAACAGCAAAGTTCTTTATGAAAGGAGAATCTTTTTATCATAATCACTTACTTGACTGAATTGCCTTTGTTTTTACACAGAAAAAAAAGGCAGAACATTATCAGGACTTTTAACAGGTTTGAGGTCTTTCTGGGCACAGGAAATAATGTTCTTCATCTCACCAAGCCTTCTGAGTCCCCTCATTTCTTTTTGGCAATACTTATGTGCTGGTTTAAGTCAGGAAAGAGTTATCTTGCTTCACAGTGGCTGGTATGAAGCTATGTTTCTGGATTTACCCTGAGAAAAGTACTGATAAGGTGTCTTTTCAGCTCATACTGTGAAGTGCTTGCACCAAATTCAAGGTCTGTCTCAGCTTCTGATACTGCAGCTGCATTCCCAACTTTCTCGCTACAGGCAGTGTCGGGGACGGACACACCATTCAGACAGCTGACCCAAACTGACCAAAGGACCATTTCATCCCATAGCACGTGATGCTCTGTACATAAGAAGGGAGTGGGCTCGGGCGACCATTACAGTCTTTTCACTCTTTCACTAGCTCCTGTGTGAACTCTGTTAGCTCCTTAACTCCTTTGCTAACTCCTTTGTTAGCTGCTTTGCAAACTCCTTTACTTGCCTGTTCATTAGTGAGTTGGGGGGTTGGTTGGCTTGCCCATCGTGCTGTTGCTCACAGGATTTGCTTGGACTCAGCTGCAATTGTGCTCAGGCTGCGGCTCTCGGGCTCTCTGGCTCTGACTCTCACTAATCAGCACTTGGTTGTGCATTAGTCAGTGGGTGGTGAGAAATTGTAGCGTATGTTTTATTCCCTATTATTTTAATTACTTAGTAGTAGTAGTACTTTTATATATCCATTTTATAGATATATTATTCATTTATATTCAATTTTTTTAGTAAATATTTCTTACCTCAATTTTACGAGCTTCCTTGTCTGTTTCTTCCAATTCTCCCCCTCCACTGGAGGAGAGATGGGAGGTGTTTGAGCAGCTTCGTGGTATTTTGCTGGCCAGAGTTAAACCACAACAACTTACAAAAAGCTTCACATCCAGGCTGAACGAATAAACTTCCTTGGTCCGGTCACAGCATTGCTGTATTGCCTACCGCAAGCATCCTATCTAACTCTGTGTGCCCTGTCTCAGGACATTGTGGCGGATTACAGTGTTGGCACGGCACTGTCTTCTGGGATGAGCTAAGCTTACTATTGTTATCATTAACTTCATGCTAGGGATTTGTTATATTATACACTGCGGCACAGATAACGACTATCAAGTCAAAGAATTTACATTCTACATAACAAAACCACAGAATATGAAACAATGAAGGTTGGAAGATTACACTTCCTCCAATTTTAATGTATTTGTTTTAATTGTACCTGATAGTGGATAGTAGGGAATTTAAAGAGAAGATGCAAAAATAGGATATTTGCATTCATCAAAAGAAGCATGGAAGAAAGTACCCACACTAACTGGGGGAGTAATTTGAGTAATATTTTCAGTCAGTTCTAATGTCAGTGGTGGGAAGAGCAGAGTAAGGGGAATGCATGTTGGGGAAAAAATATGTGATGATGTTCTGAAGGAGAGACATGGCTGAGGTGAGCAATGAGTGTGGGTACTACTGAGTAGTGAGTACTACTATGAGTAGTGGGTTCTACTGCCTTGGGGCAACAGCAGGAGCCTGGAGAAGTTTTGGGCTATGGCAAAAGGAAGGAGCAAAAGAAACAAATAATGCAGTGAGGGAGTGCAGTCTAATTAGGAGGGAGAGCCGTGGGCAGCTAGCCTGGCCCAAAATGACAAAGACTTTAAAGGGGCCAGGGAGGGCTCTAAAGAGTTTGCTGCAGCTTGGAAAATCACTGAGCTGGCTGAAAGCAGACCTGGCAACAAGGATCAGTCTGCAAGGGTGCACAGGACAAGCCAAAAATTATTTCTGTCCTGTCTGACCATGTCTGAGGCTTTTCTGTTTAAAAAGTTAATTATTCTCATTCATATTTAAATAAAATTGGCTTTCCTAGTTTTAAAAGCCTTCAATATTTTTTAGAAAATTTACTATAGAAGAACTGAGCAGATTCATCTCGACATTTTGGTTGTCTTGGGCTCAGAATTTCTTAAGGGAGGCTTTTGAGAGAGAAGGTGAAATATTAGCCATTCTTTTCATATGAAAAGCACATTAGAAACCAGGATATTGCATTGTTACCCCAGGTGCTAAACTGCAACTGACAGCTAATGTCCAGGAGATGCATGACTTGAAGAGGAGCTGGAAGCTTACCCTGTGTGCCACTCCTAAGGGGACCACTGCTTGCTTGGTACAGGGCTCTAATCCCCACATGCAGGAGATATAACCCTATGACGTAAATTCATTTTGGTTTGCTTGGCTGTTGTGCCTAGCAGTTCCTTCTGTTGCTGTTTACAAGAAATAAATGGGTTTATATACCATCTGACCTGCAGTACTTCTGGTGCAGCAAGTGATATTGCTAACTCGCTTGACTTGATACTTGTTGAATAATTTAGCTCAGGTTTGTTTCTAGGTAGCTAGCTATCCAGATGAACATCTTGTATTACTGCCTATTGTCATGGTGACAGGGCTGGCTGCATCTCTTCTTCCCTCATCTTTCTGAGTACAATATGAGGGCTGTCCTTGCCTGGGGTACAATATAGCAAATCTTCTGCTGACAGACTTGGATGTAGCGCAGCAGCCTGTAAATGAGCACTGGCTCATTTCAACACGTCTAATCGTATTCAAATGTGTGCATTGGATGCACTAATATTAGCGCTTAACTACTAGTAAGTGGGAAGCTAACTGAAGCAATTATATTTTCTTAGGTCTGTGCAGTCAACTCTAGGTTTTAATTAGCCCTTTGAAAGTGTTACCATAATTCCCTCTGAGGGAAAAAAATATTTATATGTATGCAAGCACATAAACATACACAAAACATTTGTATTATTTATATTACTATATTGTAGAAACAAAAGACTCTCAGAGCAGCTACTAACCCCTCACACTGACCTGTAGACTACTTGAGCATCTCTGATGGAAAATAATCAAGTCTTTGGTCAAAGATGTGCTGTGTCCATGTTGTTTATGTCCGAACTGGCCCCTGTGGAATGCCATGCCAACCCCTGTGCTCTGGAGAAGATGCCCTGCTGCAGCACAGCACATCCTGGCCACTCTCCCCTGGCAGGTGCAAAGGGAGAGGGCTGGAATCTGGTTCATGGCCCTCCATGGGAAAGCCAGGACATGCAGCCAGGCTCTCCAGCCGGAGCATCACTGACCTTTTTCCTTTTTCATGGTAGAATCACTCTACCTTTTTCCCTCTATGCAAGGATTATTTTTTTTTTAAAGTTCTGACTGCTTTTATTTATGCAAAAATCTTATTGGATGACTGACTTCATTGGGCAGAAGGAATGTTAATGACATTCGTATGATTAAAAGAGTTATTTGGAAAGGAAAGTCTTGCAGTACATCCCATTTTTTTGAATGCCAATTTCTTTCAACTGAAAGCTCTTTCCCCCTGTTTTATTTATTATTTCTGTATATGGTGAGGGGAGGGTTTGTGTTTTCTGCTTTCCCTAGAGATTCATAAGTATCTATGATGTCTAAAGTGGTCAAAAAGTGACTTAACTATTGAAGATCAGATGCAATGGTAGGTAGGCTAAGTATTGCTACAGATAAGGCCTAAAAGAAGGGCAGGTACTCTGGTCACAGGTTACAAACTGTTATTTAAAATTCCGACATTAAAAAATACATGGATGCCAGTTTTAAAGGTATTTACCCCAAATGTTTTGATTTCTAGGGACTTTGAACCAAAAGAACTGGGGAAAGAAATATTCAGCCTGCAATGGTGCCAAACAATCTCCTATTAATATAGATGAAGATCTTACCCAAGTAAACGTGAATCTGAAGAAACTTAAATTCCATGGATGGGAAAAGGAAACTTTGGAAGATACTTTCATTCGCAACACTGGCAAAACAGGTAAAAAGTCAGATTTCCTGTCTGGTGTTAAATGAGGTCAGAAAAGTGATCCAGGACAATCAACCAAGGACATTTAATGAAGCATTTTCATTCCACTTTTTCTCACCTTGTGCATTCTGAATGTATCCATTACATTAAAAAAAAAAAAAAAGGCAGGTGATGACAATAGCTAAGCATAACAGAGAAATCACTCAAACACAAATGAAAATTATATGAACAGAGAGTCAAAGCAATCACATCATTACTGTCTTCCCAGCATGAGCACTTCACTGAAGCTAAACAGTATTTAGCATTTGCTATGAAATAATATCTATTCCTGCATATTTAGAATCTGTAACAAATATACAAAAATGATCTTTTAAAAGTATGAATAGTTTACCTACTCATCTGGAGGCTCTTCCTGGTTGAGTTGTGTTTTCAAAAAACTCAGGATTGCATTCATCTCTCCTACACATCAACACCTATAATGTAGGCACTTGTGTCTGTATTACTCACTTTGAGTTCTTCTTTACAGTCAAAGAAGAGAAATAGCTTCTGTTATGGTCAGATTTGTCTTATGTATCTTAGAAATGTGTTTTAGAAAAAAGTGATTTATGCCTACAAGTGTCTATTTCTCCCAGCCATAAAGGAAGAGAAGCTTATGGTGGCATTTACATTGTCAGACAAATCTTGCAACCACTTTGCTGTATAAATGCAGGGTAACAGTAACGAAAAGCTCTTTGTTGGAAGTACTGGTTCTTGTTACAAACATATATATGAGGAAGGTATATCTTAACAACTGTCCTTGGCCTTCTACCAGTTCCAGTGAGACCCCTAGACCAAATATTTTATTTATTTTATTTTATTTTATTTCATTTCATTTTTTCGTGTCATTGTTCCTAATTTCTGCTCTTGGTCCCATCATGTACTTCCTACATAATACTCCACAAACCACTTACTTCTCTCTTGCCCTACTACGAGGTAAATAGCGCATTTGTCTTTTCAAGAGATCCCTGAGGAAACATTCTTTTAAGTCCATAAAAGTGAACTGAGCTATTCTTCATCTACAACAATTCAGATATTATAAAAGACACTGCTAAACCCTGCAGATAAAATTGTCTTCAAGGTCTTGAAGAGAGAAATGTGATGAAACTGAACTCCATTAGTGCTGTTTTAGCAAAAGGTCAAACAATTCACAGTCACTGGAGGTGGGAAAGCCAAACGTGGGGCTTCGGTCTATTCCACCCTGCTCATTCGCTCCGGAAGAGAAATGCTCAGTCCCGTCTACAGTTTGTGTACAGTTAAGTCCTGCACATCACCTTGTCCCAGGGGAGATTGTTCCACAGCTACGGGGTCTCACAGACAGGACAGTCCTCCTAGGAACCGGCTAAAAGTTTCTTTTCACGTGTTGCCTCATGATTTGTACCTAGAGTTATAATAATAATGGTGGCGGGGTAATTTCCTTCTTGTTAAAAACACAGGTGCTTTCAGGAAGCTTTAAGGAATTTCTTTTCTTAGATGGTCAGACTGGTGGCTAAGGCAGTTTTCTGAGCTTTTTAGCATAGTTCTGTGCTAGTTTCAAGCAACAGGAGACCAATAAAATACTGCACTTCACTAGATTACTATTTTATGAATTTCAGCATGAAACGATATGTATTTCTCCGTGCTAACAGTAAATTACCACACTTCTTACTTTGTTTAAATAACCAGTTTCCTGTCAAATTGCTTATGAAATACAAGGAAAAAGGAGTATCATATTTACCTTTTAGCACCTAATACTGAAATATGAGTCATAGATGCCTTGGCTGGCTTTTATATTGACACTCCTTTTTCCCCCCCTCTCTCTCTTTGTTCAGTGGAAATTAACCTGACAAATGATTATTATGTAAGCGGAGGTGGCTTAGACACCATATTCAAAGCAAGCAAGATCACTTTTCACTGGGGAAAATGCAACGGGTCGTCAGACGGATCGGAACATAGTTTAGAAGGACAAAAATTTCCTCTTGAGGTAAAGTCCCGAAAAAAGTAATACTGTTTACTAAATACTTTTGTTTATCACTTGATCAAAGTCTATTTGCCAATATAATCATTTGCTTAAATCCAAATTAATGGTATTTGAATTATGCATTTGAGAAGGGCAACATCAAGCATTACTTTGTGGCATGTTGAGGATGTCTAAACTGTGTGATCTCACTCACATCTTCTAAGATGACATGAGGTCTTGCTAATCTGACAAGTTCAAGCTCCCACTGACAGTTAAGCTCCTACAGGTGTGGCCCATCACATTCCACAGCAGTCAGTTGTTTAAAGTGTAAATGGACTTTCCAAAGCTGGGGCTTTGCTGAGAGACCATGCGAGTTGCTGGGCGTTACTGACACAAAGCGCGGCCCACATTGCTGGGCTGGAAAGAGCTGGCAGTGGCATGCCAGGAGCCACCTTACGAGAGCAAGTCCTGGGTGCAGCCACATTCACGGACACCCAGGCCAGTGCACCCTGACTGGTTTGGCAAAATAGCTTGCAACAGCATGGGGATGGGATGGAGAGGAGTAGCTCTTGCTGAGATCTATGAGGGCACTATGCAGACCACACTTTCAACCCTCAACATGGCATTGTAATGATCTTCCAGCTAAAAAAGGGTAGCTATGGCAGGCAACCATGCTGCTCCTCACCCTGAGCGCTTTGGACTTCTATGTCAGAGCAAAGCAATAGAGCCAAGGTTGTCCTATACTCTGTGGAGATCTGTGAGCCAGGAGCTTTTCCTGGGCAGTATCATTTCCTTTACCTCATTAACCATTTAAAAATTCACACTCCACCTGTCCTGCCAAGGCATCAGAGAGAATATTCTCCTCTGTCATTATCTCACGAAAAGCTAGTAGGAGCAGGACAGTCCCCCATTCCTGTTGGTTACCCAGCACTGGAGATTTCCCAGCTGCATCCAGAGGAAGGGGTGCAACAAGCCCAATGTCCATGACAGCAGTCAAATATGGGCACAAAATACCTGGTGATCTTTTATTACCAATGCTTCTCTGCACTTACTGCAAGGCAGATGCAGAGGGGACATCCTGCCTTATTTGTCATGTTTTGTGGCTGATTTCAAGATTGATCTCACTGGAGTACTCTAGGTTAGGTGTCCAGTGTCAGCAAGGTATCTCAGCTTTCTGTATTATCCATGGACAGATTTATGCTCCTTGAAAAGATAGCTCCTGCATACTTAGTGGTTTTTCCGGACAGGTCGTTTTCAAATATGTAGCGGCTGATGAATTCCATTCTATATCTTCAGATAAGACATGTGACATAAGTAAAAAATGCATATATTTGTAAATAAATGTGTTGCTTGGACATTTTTTCTCAAAATGGGAATATAAATAATGGCATCAATTATTTTTCTTTCATTTTTGGTACATATATAAAATTTTAATATATTTTTATTTGCAGATGCAAATCTACTGCTATGATGCAGATCAGTTTACAAATTTTGAAGAAGCAATTAAAGGAAATGGAAAGTTAAGAGCTTTATCAATTCTGTTTGAGGTAAACAAAATATATCTTTGTGTTGTTAAACAAGCTTTGAAACATGGCAGATGTTCAAACTGAATTTAACTGGTTCCAGTGTGTGATCACAGAGTTAAAAATTTACATATATCTTTCTAATTTATTCTTACAAAAAAGCAAATGGGCAAAATACATTTGCTGTGCTTTAAGTTATCTACAATTTTGATAGTAAACTGCAACTTTTTTTTTTCATGAAGTCTGTACTGTTAAAAAAATGTAATTTCTTCCTAACAGATTGGACTAGAAGATAATCTGGATTATAAATCAATCATTAATGGAGTAGATAGTGTTAGTCGTTTTGGTAAGTCTGTCTCCATGTTTTCTTGATTACTCATTAGAATAAATTCCATTTCAGTGTAATTATGAAACCTTAAAGACATTGGGGAGCATGGTTCTCTAGAGCTCAGCCATGTCTATTTTGTTAGAAACAAGAGAAGTCATCTGAATAGACTGACAAGCTGGGCAATCACAAACCATACAAAATTTCACAAGAGCAAGTGCCAGATTGTGCACCTGGGACTGGGTAATCCTGGCTACATGTACAAACTGGGGACAACAGACTGGAGAACAGCCCCGCAGAAAGAGATCTGGAGTTTCGTGTTGATGGCAAGCTGAATATGAGTCAACACTGTACCCTGGCAGCAAAAAGGGCCAACCATGTCCTGGGGTGCATCAAGCATCATAGCTAACCAGTCCCACTCTACACTGCACTGGTGCAGCCTCACCTCGGGTCCTGTGTGCAGTTCTGGGTGCCTCAGTATAAGGACATCAGAGTATTAGAGTGTGGCCAGAGGAGGGTGACAAAGATGGTGAAAGGTCACGAGGAACAGCTGAGGTCACTTGGCTTGTTCATCTTGGAGGAGAGAAGGCTGAGGGGTGACCTCATCACACCCTACAACCTTCTCAAGGTGGCGAGTGGAGAGGGAGGTGCTGATCTTTTCTCTCTGGTGACCAGAGATAGGACACGAGGTAATGGAATGAAGCTGCGTTAGGGGAAGTTCAAACTGGACATGAGGAAAAAGTTCTTCACTGAGAATGTGGTCAGGCACTGGAATAGGCTCCTCAGGGAAGAAGCACCTGGAACATGGCATCAAGCCTGTCAGAGTTGAAGGAGCATCTGAACAACGCTCTTAGTCATATGGCTTAGTTTTAGGTAGTCCTCCAAGGAGCAGGGATTTGGACTCGATGATCGTTATGGGTCCCTTCCAACTCAAGATATTCTGTGATTCTATAATTCATTTACCCCAAAACTGACTATTTGTAAGTGTAAGCAGTAAGTGTAAATGAATAAATATATCAATAATGAGGAATTTACAATTCTTTAAATGCTAAATCAAGAGAAATGCCTGATTAGTTCTGTGAGTTTTCTTAGTTACACATTTTGGGATTTTCATATGCATTTGGAAGCCATATAACCCTGTTGCAGCCATCCAAGATGTATCTTACAAGTGTGAGACCATATGAATATCTGTATTCAGTAGATGGAGAGGAATTCTTTTTTCAGTAGCTCCTGTGTAAATCTGAAATAATTCAATTATATTATATTTGTATTAGCATTATTCTAACCAAATGTTGACACTCTGGTGTTTTAAAATCCCTTGTGGTTTTGTGTCAGAGTACATGGACTTCAGGGTGGTACATGAGATCTGGGTTCTGTTTCTAACTCAGTTTCACAATGGCTTCGCAGAAAGATAAACATGAATGAGCTCTATCTTAAACAGGGATATTTTCTTCCACCATGGCCATGACCTTAAGTAAACAGCTAACCTTGCTGCAGTTTTCCTGTATGTAATGATACTTGAGCTTTTAAGCCCCTTAAGATCAACAGCTTGAAAGTGTAAAAAGCTATTAGTCCACTATTTAAAAAGTTTTCTAAAGTAGGACACTAAAATCAAGATCATTTTTCTCCAGAAAACAAACACCATTCAGCAAATACATAAGGAAACAACTTTCATAAATTGCAAAGACAGAGGAGGGGGAAATATAAAGCAGTTAAGATTTATTATCTTTGTGTGTCATCTTCTATGAAACACAAAGGAGAACGAGTAATACATCAAGGCAGATACTGTCCAACAGCCTTGGAAGGAGCTGTAAAACTATCAGCAGCAAGAATCAAGATACAGCACTACATGGCACTTCAACAATGAGTAGAAAATCGTTTTCTCGAAGAAAATGCAAATGAGCTCTGAAAATTCAGGTCATGACTAAATCAAGTTGT